AATACATTTCCTGGAAGAGGTGTGAGTATTGCTGGAAAAGCAGCACTTGTGGGCAGTGCTTGTGCAACCTGCTCTGGTGGGGCAGATCCAGTGAAGCTGCATTCTGCTGGAGAAGCAGGGGTTGAGGGGATCTTGTCTCAGGGCTCTGGGGGTCCTGGGGACTGCTGCCACTCTTTTTGCCACCTTGTAAAGTGGTGGCTGGGAAATGGAGGTCCCTGGAGGGGAGGTGAGCTCAGGAGGCTGTTTCACACTGGCTCTGCTCTAAATAAAGCAGCCTGGCCTTAGTGGAAGGTGTCCCTGCCCATGCCAGGGGTTGGGAGTGGGGTGGGCTTTGAGGTCCCTTCCAGCCCAAGCCGTTCCATCACCCTGGATAAAGCTGCAGTAAATCTCCCTGTGGTCACAGTGAATTGTTTCCAGGCACTTCTGAGCCTCTTCCTTCCCTGCTCTTTCTGTGTGTGGATCCTGTATTGGCAGTATTTTATAAACAAACCCTGAGAAGCAAAGGCAGCTTTCCCCCGCTCTGGTTAAAGCGCAGGATCTGTTGTCAAAGGAGAGCTTGAATCGATGGAGCTCTGAGAGAGGCTGTGCCTCCCTTCAGCTCGGTGTGTTTGTCTAAACCCAGGGCTGTTTGCCTCTAAATCCAGCCAGGAAGGTGATTCTGGGGAAAAAAATAGCAATCTAGTTGGAATGGATCTGTGCCAAACAGGAGGATCAGTGGGTGATGCCTTTTGGAAGGGGGTGGTGGTGGTGCTGCTTCCATGGGTATCCCACCCATGGTGGTGGTTGGGGAGCTTTTGGAGAGCAAACCCCAGGGTGCTGGGTGCTGCTGGAGCAGAGGCAGGAGGTGGAATGCTTTTGTTCCGCTGAGGGATGCTGGCAGCAGTGCTGCTGTGTCAGAGAGAGCCGGGCACCACAGCTCCTGGTCCCAGCCTGCAAGCCCAGCCCCAGGCCAAGATTCTTATCAGGGCTGGAGAGCAATGAAAGCTCTGAAAAATGGAGCTCTGTAAATCAAGTTCTCTGGTGGCTGTCATTAGTGGTTGCTGCACATCTGGACTTGTGATGGCACAGAAGCACATCTGGAAGGGGCTGGGAGGAGCAAGGTGAATGTTCATGCTGCCACAGAGTCACAGAACCATAAGGGGTTGGAAGGGACCTAAGAGATCACCTTGTTCCACCCCCTGCCCCTTCCACTATCCCAGGTTGCTCCAAGCCTCATCCAGCCAGGTCCTGAGCAGTGCCAGGGATGCATCCACAAGCTCCCTGGGCAACCCGTGCCAGTGTCTCACCACCCTCACAGTAAAACATTCTTCCAAATACCTAAACTCCCACTCTTTCCAGTGTGAACCCATTATTCCTTGACCCCTCACTGCAGTTCCTGATGCAGAGTCCCTCTTCAGCTTCCTCAGAGCCCCTTCAGATAATGGAATGTTGCTTTGAGGTGACCAACCATGCAACCTTCTCTTCTCCAGGCTGGACAGACCCAGCCTTCTCAGTCTGTCTTTGACAGTAGGGGTGCTGCTCCAGGCCTCCTATCAACAAATCAGTCTTGGGACAGAACTGTAAAAAAAAAATAAAATAAAAAAAGCTTTCTGTTGGGGTAAGAGAAGATCTGGAATTACTTTAAACCCAGGGAAGGCGCCTTGCCACGCTTGGTGGTTTGCTGAGGCTCCCAAGCAGGGAGAAATGAGGTGATTTGAGCCCCTCAGTCTGTCCTGCAGGAACAGAGGCTCGTTTGGGGCTGTGACAAGGAGGTGACAGCACTCTCAGACCATGGCCACCCTCTGATCCAGGGATGTGATGAGGGTACAGCTGCTGATGCACCAGCCCCTGTGGTTTTAGGGAGCCTGTGCTCTCAGGTGTGCCCTGCTAGAAGCAGGCTGAAACAAGCAGGATTTAAGTGGTTCCTTGTGCTCCTGTTCCTGAGATTTTTAAAAATCCAGCAGTGACCAGACTCTGAAAATTCTCCTGCAAGGCAGGAAGCTGGATGATGCCAGTGCTGGTTAAATACTGTTTGCCAAACCAGTTCTGCTGGGCACTTTCTGCGGTGCCACCCCTGCCCTGTCCGTGGCTGCTCTCCCGAGCCCTTCCTTTGCTCAGTGCCCAGGGATGTGCCAACCCTGGCACGGTCCCCGTGGCCCTGCCAGCCCTGGCACGGTCCCTGTGGCCCTGCTTGCTGTCTGCCAGGCCAGCTCCTGTGGCCAGCAGGTGATCCTGGGGCTGGTGGCACGCTCTGCCTGGCTGTGCCCATCTCAGCTCCCGCTGTAGCCTGAAGCGCACCCCAAAATCCAGCTCAAAAGCTTTTGGTGCACCCCAAAATGCAGCAGGGAGCTTTGCTGTGCCCCATCTGGCCCAGGCAGGGCTCTGGGGTGCCTCCTGTGTGCGGGATGGCAGTGGCAGATGGCCCTGAGCCAGTCCCTGCCCGTGCCTCTGGAACAATGCTCGGGGTGGACTCGCTGTTCCTCGGGACAGAGGTGATCGCCCTTGTCCTGGGAGGCACTGGAGCACAAGTTAAACAAACTCGGGTTTGTTTTTCTTTTTAATCTTATTTTTTTTCCTAAACGAGATAATTTGCTTGGAAAAGCCTCTAGACCTCCCGATACCCGAGGCGCAGGGAGAGACGGCGTTTCACTTCTTTTAATTTAAGGGATGTTTTTCTTGAGATGGTGGCAAAAGGACAAATTTACAGAATTTTTGCAGGTGGAGGCCTGGCATTGGTCTGCATGGAGATCAGTGGCAAGGGCCACCTGAAAATTACACTTTTGGGGGAGGTAATTTAAGACAGGACTGCTGTGTCCTGGAGAGAATCATGGAATCACAGAGTGATTGGAAGGGACCTTAAAACCCATCTCATTCCACCCCCTGCCATGGGCAGGGACACCTCCTACTGTCCCACACTGCTCCATGCCCCTGGCCTTGAACTCTTCCAGGGGTGGGGCAGAAGTAGGAATGGATTAAACTGGTGGTGCTGTTGAATGGTTTTTGGTGCTATTCATTCAGTCCAGCTTCTTTGGGAAACTTTCACTGTTCATGCTCATATTTGCATTCTTGTGCTGGGAAAATGAGGACAGGGAGATCTGGTAACTCCACTCCAAATCCTTCTTGTCTACAGCTGAGATGGCTTATGCTACAACAGTACCTGCTGGTTTTAATGAAAATAAATTATGTTAGTATCTTGCTAATGCCTGGTCTAAGCTGACCCAGCTCTGTTTAACAGGATGTGCTGATTAATGGGACTGGAACATCTTGAACACTCGGGATGGCAGAGACCTGCAGGGATTGGAAATGACATTTAAGTGATTTTCTCTCGAATTTGACGTGTAACATGGAACGCGTTCCAGGTCTCTAAGAATGCAAGATGGGCAGAGAGGAACTTGGAGAGTGGTGATGCTGAGACACTTGGGCTGCAGAGAAACAGCCAATTAAAGGGGGTTTTTAATGAAGCACAGCAAGGAAGGGACTGTGTTCAAGCAGGCATTTTCCTGCACATCAGGGAAGTAACTTTAGAAAGCCCATCCTGAGCAACTGCGTCGATGCTGAAAGTCTCAGACCTGGTTTTGCTTCTTGGAAAGGAACACTCAGATGTGAGTGTGCTAAGAGCTCTTCCAGGAACAGCCAGCAGTGCCTGAAATGCCGTGGCACTGTGGCCAGAGGGTCCTTGTGTAAGGCAGGAGCAGTCCCCATGGCAGCTCCAGCTGCCATCCCCCGCCCCAGCAGTGCTGCAGGGCACCACTCCTTGGGAGCTGCTGCCAGAGCAGTTTGGGGTGAGCAGAGTCAGCTGGATCCGTGGGGAAGGGCTGGAGCTGGCTGCTGCCAGCAGGGTGACCTCACCCCAGCGCTGGGTGATGCCTGGCCGGGCAGGAGGAGCTCCCCTGGGTACCCAGGAGGGCTGGGCTGCTGGTTTTGGGGTGTTCTGTGGTGCAAAGAAGGGAAGTCACCTGTGGCAGTGGGATACTCTGCATGGAGGGCACAGCTGGGTTCAGTCTGGGTCAGGGGTGTTGGCTGGCAGCTCGTGCCAGTGGCACAGCACAATCCCTGAGACAGCCTGCCTGTAAAACAGGGATGCTCAGGAATCCCAGAATGGTTGGGGTGGAAAGGAACCTCAAAGCCTGTCCCATTCCACCCCTGCCATGGGCAGGGACAACTTCCACTATCCCAAGTTTCTCCAAGGCTGGTGCAACCTGGCCTTGGACACTTCCAAGGATGGGAAATACTGGATGTCACTTGGTATAGTGCCAAAAACCCCCTGACCCCCCCCCAAAACTGAACTTGAGCAAGTTCCTTTGGTCTAAGGGTGGCTGGTTAGGTCAGCATGGGTCTCAGGGGGATTTCTCCAAACCAGGGCATCTACTGCTTCTGTATTTCCATATTTTGGGGGCTGGGGCCAGGGGTTGCTGACTCTGTGGGTGATTTCCCCTCTGTTCTCTCTCCCTCCCTCTACTACACAGCCTCAAAATAATTGGGAATGGTGGATTTTTTTTCCCCCTGGGGCAGTATGGAGCTGCTTCTTAGTAATCTGCTGGAGGCTTGGGTAGAGTGGGAGTGGAATTGATTGTGTGGGTTTTTTTCCTTCCTGCTCCAAGACCACTTCTTGGCACTGAGGAATTTTTCTTTAGACTTCTTTGGGGAACAGATGCGTGAAGTACAGTTACCACTCATACATATGGCTTTTAAAATATGGAAGCTGTTGGACTGAAGTGGCTTCATATGGTGCTGTTGGAGGATGAGAATTAACACGGAATTTTGGGTTTCTGAGACGTGAATGTGGCGTTGGGAAGTTGTTTAATTGTTTTTTTAAAAAATAATGTTAAGTATTAATTTGCATCTTTATGGTTATTAATCAATGTAACATTTACAACTCTGAAAATTACTCTCTCTGCAGCCCTTAATGCCTAAAATAGCATTGTAGTTTAATCTCAGGGATAAATAGGTTATATAATGTACAATTTAAATGGCTGTTAATCTTCATTTGCTAACGCAGACATCTTTTTCTTTAATTGCAGGTTCCCATTTTAAAAGCTATTGGAAGACACTCTGCCACCCTCTTGGATTACTTCCCATACGACTCAGCATGTCACTGTGCCCTGGATTTTACAAGGTGGCCATGATTTAATCCCCACTTCCCACTCCTATGTATTGGTGAAGCACTGGAGCTCTTTCGAGCTGCTGTTACTCCCGTGGGAACTGATCTGTCTCCAATCCCTTCTCCCAAGGACTAGACATTGCCAGCAATGAGCTCCCAAAGCCATCCAGGTAAGGGTAAGGCCACTTGGAGTCCCAGCAGTGACCCCAAAACACAGTTTGGTGCATGAACACACCTTTTAATTATGCTGAAATGGTCATCCAGACCCCCTCCCTCCCTTTCCTGCTTCATCTGATACCTGGTGTGAAGGTGGAAAGTGCTGTTGGTGTTACCAAGAGTTACAAGGAAGTTTTACTGTTTCAGACTTCTGACTGTTGTAAAATTTGGGTTTCTAATGGTTGCATCAGTGAAAATAGGTATTTTCTGAGTCATTAACCAGACACTTAATTTGTTAAATCCGTGCTGATGAGCCCTAATGACATGGAGTGTACTTCCAAGGAATGGGCATGGTTCTGCTGCTGCCTTTATTGATATTTAAGAAACCTGTTGGACTTTTTAACAGGAAGGAATAGTTTTGCTGGAACAAAAGTCAATTGATCCACCTCAATGCTGTCTGGGGGATTATCCCTAATGTGTCTTGTAAATTGAGGCATGATTCATCACTACCAAATTGTGCATTTCTGTCTGTCAGGAGGATCTGTAGCTGCTCAGTTACCTCCTTTCCAGCTTAAAGGTGCCTCACACATTTGTTTTTAGGGAGTCTGGGGCAACTTTTGTGTTAATTAGAGCTTTGTAAGAGGAATTTTAATTGTGCTTGGGCTGTTTCAGTTTATGGTACAGAACTGGCTGCTGGGAAGCAAATAATCCAACAACAACAAGGCACGTGGAAGGACTTATTTCACTCTGCCTCTGAGAGATTACTCTGTGACTTCAGTTTAATCAGGTTGAGGTTAACAATTAAGGCTGAAGTGCTAAAAGCCAGAGAACAGCCCCAAAGATTTAAGGGGGAAGAAATCCTGCAATAAATAGGGGTGCTGGAGTCTACAGGCAGCAGGGGGAGATCTGACCTTCTCCTCACAACTGGAATGAGTTTATGAGTCTCTAAAATCATCAGAATGATCAAAAAGACAAAAACAAACCTGGCCTCTGCTTCCATAATATAGCAGTGTTAGATGATGAAGTCTGTTGGTACTATGAGGAGTTGAGAAATGTGTGTTTGTATGAATGCAGGTGTTTACTGGAGACACAAATGCAGAGTGATGTTTTTCAGGAGCTCTGTTCTTCAGATAACAGATAATTGTTGTTTCAGTGTTTCCATGACTCAGGAGTGAGGCTGGGCAGCTGTGGCCAGCTGCTTTTCTCTCCTTGTGGTGGTGGGACACCTTAAACACCCACCTGCAGTCCAAACCCAGCCGTGGGTGTTTCTTGGCTTCTCAAGGAGCTGCTCTCCTGAGGTTTGGGAAGTGGTGATGTCCTTCCTGGTTGGGCTACTGGCAGTGGAAGCCTGATGCTGGTTTGCCTTGCTTCCTTTCATAATTCATCACTGAACACTTGTTTCTCCCGTCTCTTTCTGCTGCCTTGGCTCAGCGTTCCTGTAAATCCAAAAATCAGCTTGAGCTTTGTTTTTCTAAGGAACCTTTCTAGAACGGTGCTGAGAAGGGTGGTCTGATCAAAAGCCAGGGTGTGGCAGCTGGGCAGGATGCTGCTGGATACCCACCTTGTGCCCTTCCTGGGTGCTGGGTTCTTACTCCGGTTGTACTTCCAAGGGTTGGGTTGGAATTCTGCAGTTTTTTGTGGTGGCTTTTCACCCCTCATGTTCTTGCTGCTCGTTTCTCTTTCAAGAGTCAGTTGTATAATAAGGAGCAGAAATATTTCTCAAGACTTGCCAAAGATGACATCTGGACTTCTCATGTCAGTTATCATAGCCATGTTGATTATACAGCTACAGGTAATTATTCCTAATGATGGGCATTGTTTAAGAGAAGGCTCTGGCTTAACTCAAGAGCCCATTAAGCCTTGCTTCAGTGGGTTCAAGCTTTCTTCTCTAATCTTCTCCAAGGCCAGCACTAATGGGATGTTTTAGGAGCTGTGCCATGAAATTGTTGCGGCATAGATGAATGCAAGTGGTTTGGGTTGGGTTTTTTTCTCTGTGCTTTTTCTGATTTTTCATTTCACTCTGCAAAGCTTTTGTGAGAAGTGTTGGGCACCGAGAGCTTCTCGCCGAACAAGGTGGAAAAACACGGAGAAGATTTAAGCTGGCTAAGAAAAGTGTGACTCCTTCCCCCACCACTGCCTCTTCTTTTGTTGTGTTTTGGGCTAAGATTCTGTAGGGAATAAGAAATAGCTTTTGGAGAAGAAGAATACCCAGGTGGGAGAAAACTTCCTGGGAGGCATCACGTGGCCTTTGGCTTTTGGCAGAGGAGTCACCGCCTCTTCCAGCGCTGGAACAAAGCTGGAAAAAAAGACGCTGGAATTGTGCTGCGAAGGCTCAAGTTGCTGCAAAGTATAATTAAGACAATTAGGCTAATTAAGATAACATTTAGGATTATGACAAAGCTTGGGGGGGGGGGCGAGGGAAAGCATGTTTAGTTTCACTCCTTAACCTGTTCACGTTGGCCACAATTTAGGCTTGCCTTACATAACCTGTGGTGCTCACCTTACCCAGGCTGACTGGGTTGGGAGTAGGTGTGGGGTGTTTTTATAGGGGTTTTTAAATATTTTAGGGTTTTTCCCCCTTCTCTTGTTTACCTTAAATGATTCCTTGCAGTTGTCTTCTACCTCCCCCTTAATTTTCAGTGGCTTGAGTTTCACTATCGTTCTCTTCTTTAATCAGTAAAGATTGTTCTGCTGATACTAGTTATACATAAAGATTAGTTTTAAAAAACCAAAACACTTAAAGTTAATCACTCAACTGATTTGTATTTGTTTAAAGTTCACTTTCCTTTGTAAAAGCTGAAAATCTCCATGTTCAATGAAGCATTTTGTTTATGAAATGTTATCCTGCAGGAATTAACCAGTCTGAATGCAAATGCTCCATCCTTTCTTCAGAGCCACTCTTGCAGAGATGCAAATTTCAGCTACATTTTGCAGTGCTGAATGTTTGATAATTAGGAATATTGAAGTTTTGAGAATGAGCTGCCTGGCTGATAGGATACAATCTGCAGCAGGGATCATTAGGGCTGAGAGGAGCTCCTGGAGGAAGCAGAGAGCTCCGGGATCACACGGCACCGGGAGAACGAGTTGGGGAGTCACGTACTGTGATTTGCTGGGCAGATAAGGACTTCTGTACGGGGCTTTATCTGCAGCCAGCCACTCTGCTGCCCTCCTCCACAGCTCAGTGAGGCATGGAAAGCCATTTCATGCAGCACACACACACACACACATGAGCTCTCCCCATGAGCATCTCCCAACGTTTTGCACCGCACGATAAATATTTGATGCGTTTTCTTTTTAAAGATTAAGAAGTTTCTGTGGAGATGCATTTCAAGGCGGCTTTAAATGACACTGACCTACTTTCTGGCAGCAATGAGGCTGTCTGGGGAAGTTATCTGGGGGCAAGAGCATCATTTCAAATAAACATAGGGACTGGGGGGATGAGTTGCAGCCCTCCTCTAGCAGGGCTGGGCTGTGGTGGGTGCTTGGTGACCGTGGAAGAACACCTGGACAATGGTGTATGATGGAGGCATGGAATGGTTTGGGTGGGATGGGGCTGTGAAGCCCACTCCATCCATGGGCAGGGACACCTTCCACTATCCCAGGTTGCTCTAAGCCCCCTCCAACCTGACCTTGGACACTTCCAGAGAGCCTTGCTTCCCCTTACCAGGTGCTCTGGTTTTACTGGATTATTCTAGAGTGGGAATTCAGAGGCTGTTCCCCTGAGCAGCCTGGTCCCCCAGTTTTGGGGGGGGACTTTGGGGTTGGCTGTGGGGTAAACTCAGCAATAAGCTCTGGTTAGAACAGCTGGAACCTCCAGCAGATGGAACTGGCCATGTCTCCATTCACTTTTCTTTCTCCAGCCCACGACAGAACACCTTTTCCACCTTCATTCCTGTTCTTACCCATGTGGGAGCTGAGCCTGTCCTGGATTTCCTCTAGGAACGGTGTCATTTTGAGGTCCTTGAAAGTTTTAAGTCTGCTCCCACTAAACCTGTGAAGTTTTCACTTTCTGGAGCTTCAAATAGTTGGGACTTTCTGTGCAAGGGTTTGATTGTACCCTCAAAAGAGAAGAATAGTTTTGTGCTTCAACTTGGGGTTCAAGCTGAAGTTCCTGCTAGGTCAGTGTCCCTGCCAAGTACATTCCTCTCATTTCTGCTTTTTCTTTAAATGCAGTTCTTGCACTTAGGAATTCTTTAAAAGCCTGTTTCTAAAGTAAGTTTTTTAGCCTGTGATGTTTCCTGCAGTGCAAAGATAAGAAGCAGGTACTTGTGATGAGAAGCTGAGAACTCTGGATTATTTTGAATGAAGTACAGGGTAGGGGAAGGATATAAAAAAGGTTGTACTTTTAAAGTTGGGTGATTCTGCAGTAATGTTTGAGATAGTCCTTGGGATCTTGTGTCCCATTTGGAAAGGAGACAGACCTTTTTCTACAAGGTTACTGCATTTTTGTTACTCACTTCTGGTCAAGCCCAGTTTGCCCTGTGTCTCATACTTCCCCAAATTCAATCTGCTACCGGAAGAGTGGGCAAACAATTGCAGCAAGGTTTCTTCTTTCACTGCAGTGTTTAGTGTATCTTTTTCATCCTCTGACATCTGCAGAAACTGCCTTTACAGTCAGAGGATAGCTGGGAGCTGGTGAACGTGGAGTAGCAGGTGCCTGACTGGAGAATGAACAATTGTGGAATTGGTAATTCTCCCATCTTTCAGTAAAGGTTTGCCAGTCCCTTCCTCCTCATAGCTTGCCATATACCAGAAATTCCCCCCCACACTTTTGTTTCTTTATTTTATTATTTCTATTTAGGCCATTAAGCAGGGAAAGCCTTGACACCTGCACTGTTTGAGCTGCCAGGTGGAGTGGTCAGACCACTGAGAAATGGGGCACACAATTTATTCTTCTGCTAAGAAAACAAAAATTAATACATCAGCAGGTCTTTTAAAGGTTTTGTTTCCATAACCAAAATCAAAGTAGTGTTGTTTCATCAGTTACTGGGAAAATCTAAAGATGCTTTACCTGCAGTGCCCTGCCTTGCTTTGAGGTGCTCAGCAGCTCTTGGGGTCCCCCCTGGGGATTGCTGTCACCCTTTGGATTGATGGACTCATTTGCTCAGGTGTGGAAGCAGGTTTTTAGCCTTTCAGAAGGATGAGGCTGATATTAAACTTCATACCTATTGAAAAGTGAATTCCATATGGGAATAATCCCAGGGGGGCTTTTCTGAGACCCTCCTGTCTCAGCTGGAAGCCACCCCTGGTGGCAGCAGTGCCTGTGGGAGTTCCCAGGAGCTCCTGAGTGTATTTGGGGTTCAGTGGGGCATTGCTGGTCCTGCTTTGAACCCTGGCAGCATAGGCTTTGCCAGGGAATCCACAGGCCAGACTTAATCTTCTCCGTGTTTGTAGCTGCCCTGCTCCACTTTGATGTTGCAAGAAATGTTTTGGAAGCTTGAGTTGCCAAGAGTGAGGAGGTTCTGCCAGGATGGCTGGGCAGGGTCAGCCCGGGGAGACAGGAGCCTGACCACAGCTACCTGTGGATACCTGGGGTGGGGGGAAGCACAGGCAGGGTTGTGACAACAGCCATTAAATACACCCTCTCAGCTTCTGCTCATGTGTGATGTGGATTTTTGGGGGGGCCGATGGAGTAAATTTTACTTTTATTTGTTGTTTTGTTGTTTCTTGGGGTTTCTTTTCTGTCATTTTGGTTTTACCAAGGGCTGAACAATCCCAGCACTGAAGAACAACTTCTTTTGCTGACTTAGCTGTGAACAGAGCAGAAGCAAAGTGCCTCTCCTCCAGGAGAGCTGCTTGCAGTAGAGGGGACTGCTGGAAACCCCCTGTGCTCTGTGCGAGGGCTGGGATCACCAGCGCGTTGGAGAAATCGCAGCCGAATTCAAAGAAATCACCTGTTGCTTTTTTTTTAAAAAATCAATCCTGACCCTTTTGCTATTCTGGAAGCCCTTGTGCTGCCAAACCACATAAATAGCTTTATGGGGCAAATGGTGATGGGAGCTGTGAGCTGCCAGCCTTGGCCTCAGGTGTCTGTTTTGTCCTCCTCTGTGATCCCACCAGGATCAAACCACGGAGCGCAGGGTGAGGGGCCGTGGGCTCTGCGTGCTCCCCGTGGGCTGTGCTGTGGATGCTGAGTTTCTCTGGCAGCTGCTGCTGTCCCTGAACTCCCGTGTGGTGACTCTGTGTCCCGTGTGGTGACTCTTTGTGTCACCTGGGATCAATGGCCCCGGATCAATGCTGGGGCTCGGCAAACGGGAGCGGCCGGAGATGGGAAACGCGGCCCCGGCTGGGTGATCTGCTCAGAGATCTGAGAGCAGCTGGATTTTTTGTCTGCTGCTGCTGGAAAGGTGGTTTCAGCAGCTCTGATCAATTGACAATTCTTCAGGCAGGAAACCCTTAAAGCCTGGTGGTGATGTTAAAATAATCCCTTGAGAATTGTATTTTGCTCTTCTGTTTTGGCATTCAAAACTTGCACTTTCTACTCAAGCAAGGCTTAACCCTCTCTGTTAACTGTGACCTTTATTTTATGCTGCCTATAAAGAGAAACAGTTTTAAATGTTTTTTTTAACTCCTGATCTAGAAAATGCTTGAGCTGCTCCTGTGGGAAGACATAAAAGCCTGAACTAGACCAACCCTCTCTTTAATGGTCATAAAATCATCCAAAACAGTAAAAAAGATCATACACCAAACTCCACAAGTCCATCCAAGTACTGAATCCTTGACGTCTGTCGCTTCAGGAAAAATCTCTGCAACTTCCCAGAACTTGCTTTATTCTAACTAAGGTGCCAGTGGTCTCACAGAACCTCTGCCAGGGGAAAGCATGTGATCCTCACAGCTTACCAAACCCAGGAGAAGGGCTCTGGCATCTCTTCCCTGCCAGCAGCAAGAATCTGATTGGCATTAGATGGCTTTTTCCCTTCCTTTTTTTCCTTTCCAGCAGGTGCAAGGCCTGTTCTGCAGGCTCGTAACTCTTGACAGGTTTATCATGATGTCTTCTTGGCAGGTAGGGCTGATGCTATTCCTTCAGCCTGCATTAAAGATTCTTTTCTTTTTCATTTTTTCCCTTCAAAGTGGAGCTCTGTGCAGTAACTCTTTCAAGGAGGTGATGGGACTGTTGCCCCTGGTTTCCTTCTTTTTATCTTAACTGCAGCAGGTAGAGCCAACCTGAAGGGTCACTACACCTTCACCACCACCTCCACCTCCCCCAAATAAACTTGAGACAGGTTGATCTGAGCAAACACAGCACCAAGTTGTGTTGACAGATGTTTGGGAAAGGTGTGATTCATTCCTCTCATGTATTTTCTTTTTCACAAGGAAAGTTACGCAGGCAGGTTCTGCTCAGGCACCGCCTGATTCCTGAATCCTTCTGAAGAAGCTGCTCTGTGGAAGTTGCCCTTTTAATTTTTTTTCTTCCTTTCCTCTCTTTTCAGCGGTGTTTGTCATGGGAGACCTCAGCCTGTTGTTTTTAGCAGCTCACCAAAGCGCTTAAGAAGAATTCCTCCTCCTCCACTGATTAATTTCTGGCATGGAGCACAAAATAGCTCTTGCGTCAATAAATCGTCACAGCCCTCGCTTGTCTCTGTCAGCGTAAATACTCTTGGACTCCAGCGTGCCCCCAGGCAGGCCAGAGGTCCCAGTTCTGCAGCTGCAGGGTGGTCGAGTCCAAGGGTGCAAGGCTGGGCTGGCAGAGCTGCTGCACTTTGTGCTGCCAGCCCCTTCACCCCCCACCCCTCCTTAACTTCTGGAATTCTGCTCCAGTTATAAAGATATGTATTGTTCTGCAGCTTAGAACTTAATGGGTTTGGGTGCATCTGTTTGATTTACTGGGAAAGCAGGAGTGTGTTTGTGGCTGTGAGCAAGGTTCTGCTCAGTGACTCCTAGCCCTCGTTTCACTGCTTCACCTCCCATCACTTGGGAGGCTCCTTCTCAAGCTGCTTGCTCAGACTCTGTTTTTTTTTTTAATTATTTTTTTATTTTACTTTTTTAATTTTATCTTTTTTGACTGGTATTTCTGGTGTTTGCTTTTGTTGGAGAAACGGTGGATAGCAGTTGCACAAAAGAACGTGATGTTTTGGGAGTGATTGCCCAAATCATTGGGCAACAGGGACTTGATCTTTAGATGTTCCAGCCACCAGATGAAAGAGACTTTCTGCAAAGCCATTTGCTGGAACAGCTGTTGTGCAAACAGCGTTCTGAATGCTGCTGGAAATGGGGAGGGGGGTGAGAAACCTGGAAACTGGGTCATCCTCCTGCACTAGGGAAGCTTGAGGGAGCTGCTGGAGAGGCTGGGACCATCCATTGGCAGCTGGAAAGTGGGATGGAAACTGCTGGCTGTCTGCAGAGGTTCCTCCTTGCAGAGTGCCTTGGTGGAACTGCTCTCTGGCCTTTCCTGGAGCACATTCCTCCTCCCACTGCCCCCACAGCTGCCCTGCCTCTAAATGGAGCAGTTGAGCAGACTTGAGAACAAGAATGATCTAGAAGCGTTTCTAAAATTTAGATTTTTTTAAAATATTATTTGTTATTCTCTAATCTACATCAAAATACAAACACAAACTGCTGGTGGAGGGGTGGGGGAAAATTCCTCAATATCCCACCTGTGGGTGAAAACTCTTGGCAGGTATTTTTGCCAGTTTTGAGAAATCAGCTGTAGCTGCTCTAAACCAAACTGTTCCATTATAAACTTCTGCAGGTATTCCTTCTGTCCTTTGAAAAACAACCCATTCTGTGCATGCCAATGGATCAACACTGGAAGGGGGGCCTTGATGGGTTTGGAAGAAATCCCAGAGGTAGAACACCTATTTTGGGGAGAACACTGTCTGCTCAAAGGTGACTTGCATTGCCAGGAAGGAGAGCATGGCTAGCTCTCAGCCTCATGTGGGGATTTGATAAACTCTGTGTTTTCCAGGATTTCTCATCTTGTTCCCTTGGCCTTCCTCCTCCTCTCTGGAGCTGCAAACTAATATTCACGGAGAGATTTATGTGTTTTGGCCAAAATGCAGAATGTGTGCAAAAATGTCCCCGCTACCCTTTTCCCCCATAAGAGCTCGAGGTTTGAGAGTGAAAACGCAGGTTTAAAAGCATTTTTCTGATCAGTTTGTTTATTCCTTGGTCTGTGATGTGCAGGGTGGTGTTGGGGGAGCCCCAAGGGGTTGAGGTTGGAGGAAAAGGCAGCGGGGGTTGTGTCACTGGGGCTCTCTGGCAGCTCCCTGCCCGTGCCTATGTTGGGCATAGGCTTTTCCTGCTTTTCTCTTTCTTCTTGTTGATGCCAGGGTGGTGTTTTGGCTCTGCAGTGGGCACAGAGCAGCTCCCCTGATGTGGCTGCTGTGTGTTTGTCCAGGCTCCTTCTGTCTGAACTGTTAGGGTTTATTCCTTAGGGTTGGGCTGGGGCTGGGCTTTTCCACAGCCTGGTGTTGGGTCAGGGTGCTGGAGCCTGCTGATCTCACACACACACACACACACACACACACACTCACTCTCATTTTCCCATCTCAGGTGTCTGTGGTGCCTCTGAACAGAGCATCACGTGGCATGCTGTGGGCAGTGAGTGATGCTGGGGTAAACACAGAGCTGCAGTTTGCTGGGTGAAGCTGTGGCAGCTCAGGGTGTGCTTGGCTTTTTCCCCTCCCCTGGATGTGGGTGCTGGAGAGCTGGAGATCCCCTGTCTCCACTAATCAGGCTGGGACATGGGGTAGTTGTTGGTTCTGGGAGCTCTCTGAGATGCCCATCCCACATTGAGGAGTCTCTGAATTCCTTTGTGCTTGAGGTCAATTTTTTTTTCTTGTAAAGCACTGGAACAGGCTGCTCGATGCAGTGGTGGAATTGCCATCCCTGGAAGTGTTCAAAAAAACATGTGGACTCTAAAATGAAATATTTCCTTCCTATTTCAGCTTGTGTTTCATGGTTGGGGCTGCTTTCTTCAGGAGAGGCAGGCAGGAGAGTCCCTTCAGGAGCCACCAGTCCCCAGGGCTGGGTTCTGTAGTCGCAGCAGCCCAGCTCTGCTGTGGGATGAACCCTCCCTCCTGGGGAAGGTGAGCTGGCATAAAGGGGTCTGCTTGTGGTGTCTTGTTTGGCTTTTCAGGCTCCTGAATCCAGAGAGCTCTGCAGAAGGAGCTTGTTTTTATTCAGAAATAATGATACAGTAGTTGGTTTAGGCACATAAACATTTGTGGCTTGAGCAGGCAGAGGTATGATACACACTTGTGTTGGGAGATGAGTTCTGCCTCGCTGGAAACTCCTTTTTCCTCTTGCAAGAAACAACTGTGGGACTAATTCCTTTGAACATTAGAGGGTTTTTCACCCCCCAAAATCTTCACCTGGTTTTATTTTGCAGTAAGAAGCAGTAGGTTGTGTTTAGGAACCGTTGTTGGTGAGATTGTATCTGGCAAAGACACCATCTCACCAACAGCTTTCAAAGATTTGGAAGAAGGCAGAATGCTCAGTATTTGCTCCTTTAATAGTTTTGCTTACTGTTTCCCACCAAGCCTGTGTTTCCATCGTGTCTGTGAGCTTCACTAGCTTTGTCACATTTGCAAGTTGTTAATAACATCTTGGTTTGTTAATATATTCTCGGTATTGGCAAATTCTCTGTGATTTATCTGCTTAGATCTGCGTTATTTACCCCTCTGCCTCTTCCAAGTTAATGATTTCCCTGACTAAGGATACCTTTGTGCACAGGGAAAGATGCAGGGAGGAAAAATCCGCCTGGGATGTTTCTCCTCCCTCCTTCTCCTCCCTCCTCCTCCCAAACTGGAACTAGTGGAGGCTGCTGGCCACCTTCACTGGTCATCTGCTGAGTCCTTTAATTGAAGCACTTCTGATTCAGAGCTTCCACATCTCCTGGCTCAGGTCTTGGATGCAGGCAGAGCATTTGAGCTGTGCTGCCTCTGGTCCTCAAATTGTAATTTCAGCTCAAGCCCTTTCTTAGGTGTTGGGACAATGAACTGAAGTGTGTGGGGTGTTTTCCCCTCAGCACTGTGGGGCTCACAAAGCGCTGCTGTGGGTGCAGGATGACAAATGCTGCCACATCTAATGAGGGATCACTCTGAGCATCCCATGCCTTGCTGTGTGGCTTCTTGGAGCCGCTGACCTCTGCCTGGTGCCCTTGGCCGTGCCAGCCCAGCCGCGTGCTGGCAGCTGGGAGATGTTTTGTCTGGCAGCAGGGAAAGCTTGGTGCTGGTGAGAAGAGCTGAGAGGGCAGAACACACGGGATGGGATGTGCTGGGTTTGGTGCCTGGCACAGCTGTGGCAGCTCTTCCCTGGTTACCAGACATGCCAGGAGTGCCAAAAGCTCGGGGGGTGCAGCCCAGATGGGACCGGGACTCGCTGGGCACGTGTGGCTCTGGATGAATTGTCCTGTGCTCCAAATGAGTGGCTGTACACGGAGCAGGCACGTGGGCACAGCTCTGCTCTCAGCAGGTGAAGCTGCAGCAGGAAAACACCTCAGGCTCAGGAAGACACAATAGCAGAGCGCAGGGAGCCGGGCTGAGGCTGTGAGGGATGTGGGATCCGTGCTACCGGAGGCTCAGAGGCAAAAATAGCATCATTTATAATAGTACAGGGGAAGGCTCCTGCGCGACGCCTTTGCATTCTGCCAGCCTGTAGTGAATGGAGGAGTAGTTTGCTTACAGATGACAAGCAGGGATGAATAAGCACTTAAAATTTTTGGTGCTGGAGAAACAGCTTTTCCATCTTGGCCCCTGAGCTAGTCAGTCTTGCAGTCCCTTTCCTCAGAGTGTCGCTTGCTGCTTGAAATACAGATGTTGAGAGGCACGGAATTAAAACTCTCTCCGCATCTCTTGGCCTCCCTGTGGGCTTCCCTGTTCTGCCCTTGGCATGCTTCAGGATGTGTTTTGACTGGTCTGTGTGCTGATTTTGGAGAGGACCCCTTTGCTGCCTGGCTTGCCCCCAACAGCAGTAGGAGATATCCAAAGCACAACCCATGAACTCCTTCACCAGCTATAAACATGGCATCACCACAGACTAAATCGTGATGGATTTTAGTGGATGGACAACTGGAGGTGAAATGGAAGAATAAACACATTCATTTGGGTGCTTGAAGAAGAGCAGTGAAGTGTGGATAGGTGTAAAGTTATGTCCTGGAGTAAGGAACTGCTGTCCCTTGAGGTCTCAGTGCTGGGGCTGCTGGCTACAGCAGTGTTCCCTCTGCCCCTTGCTCTTGTCCTATGTGCTTAATTTCCATGGAATTTCCATGGGACACCTTAAGTATTTTAGCTGTTGGAATTTTGTAATGGGAGGTAACATTGTTTGGATGGGGTTTTTTTTAAATTTTTTTTGTTTTCTTTTTCCCTTCTTTCTTCCCCTAAACTGCTGCTTTGTGGGCTTTCTAAGGACCTAGTCCAGGGTGGAAACAGAGGGAGAAACACCTCGTGGTAAGGAGTGGAATGCACCTAGTGCTGTGTGTTTCTTCGAAGTCAATACTGTTAATTGCTTTCTTGCTGCTTAATGATAAACTTGTTAAGACGTGGCCAGAAGTGGTTCTCTGGCCAGGAAAATGTCCTTTTTGCTGTTGTGTTTGCCTGAGCTAGCAGTGGAGATATACCTGTAGTACCTG